ACTTAAAAGGAAGCGATTCCCAAACCTTCCATAACAAAGCCATCACCTACAGAGAGATGAACTTGGAGAAGAGTCCCTTAAGCAAGCTGGTCCTGGGGCTCTGTTCACAAACACAAACAGACTCCACAGCGCCCCAGGACAACAACACAATTAGACCCAACCAAATCATGAGAAAACAAAAAATTATTACTTGACACATTGGAAAGAATTAACCAAAAAACAGAGCAAACAGAGCAAACTAGAATGCTATTTTGCCCTACACAGAGAGTACACAGTGGCAGAATACCTGACCAATGTGACTGACCGAAACTTAAGGAAAGCTTTGACTATGTACAGACTCAGTGAGCATAGCCTTGCTATTGAGAAAGGCCGCTGTAGGCAGACCTGGCTCTCAAGAGAAGACAGGCTATGTGCACACTGCCCACAAAATAAGGTGGAAACTGAGCTGCACTTCCTAACCTCCTGCCAAATGTATGACCATATTAGAGACACATATTTCCCTCAGATTACACAGATCCACAAAGAATTCGAAAACCCAGTGTGCCATCACAGCAGCAAGATTGGTGACCTGTTGCCACAACAAAAGGGCAACCAGTGAAGAACAAACACCATCGTAAATACAATCCATATTTATGTTTATTTATTATCCCATTTGTACTTGAACTATTTGAACATTGTTACAACACTGTATATATACATAATATGACATTTGAAATGTCTCTATATTCTTTTGGAACTTCTGAGTGTGAGGTTTACTGTACATTTTTATTATGTATTTCACTTTTGTTTACTATCTTCATCACTTGCTTTGGCAATGTTAACATACGTTTCCAATGCCAACAAAGCCCTTACATTGAAATTGAGCGAGAGAGAGAGAGAGAGAGAGAGAGAGAGAGAGAGAGAGAGAGAGAGAGAGAGAGAGAGAGAGAGAGAGAGAGAGAGAGAGAGAGAGAGAGAGAGAGAGAGAGAGAGAGAGAGAGAGATGAAGTGGGGGCTAAGAGAGAGAGAAAGAGGCCGAGGGGGCTGGTCTGAGATATCAAGGCATGCACTAATCTAATCACCCCCTCTCTGTCCATACTTCACAGAGCTTGTGTTATTGTTTACTTGTTTATGCAATGCGAGGAGTGTTGAGAAGATACGCATGTCTGCACGATTTAGTCACGTTCACTTGGGAAAAGCACTTAGGGCAAAGGAAGAGAAAAAACTGTCTGGCATTTTACATTTTGAAAGTAGCATAGAATAACTCTCTCTCCCTCTCTAGACTAAGCCTCTCTGTGTTTTTCTAACTTCTGCAGATCTCGAATTGTAACAGATCAGCAATTCATAACCAATTAGCCTAGCTACAGTATAACCTTATATACGTTCCCACCTATCATAGATGAAATGATACAATCCTGTCATTTTCTCTCCATCAGCAGAAAACAAAGTGGAGACTTGCACGGTGGGGGCTTAAAATAGATTTACAATCATGTTATGTAAGAAAACACTGACTATGCTAAATAATATAGAAAATCCAATGGCTGATTATAAATGTGCTACACTCACACATCGATTTGGGTGCTGGGGAACCATATGTTACTGGGGTGAATATTCACACCCACATCACACATGCAGCATCTCCCACAGTCCTACCCAGAATACATGTAATTGAAGGGACATTCAATAACATGCCACTTGGCAAAATACTGTACGTTTTGAAAATGGATGACTCTACAGAAAAGCTGCATGTAATTGTATGCACTTTTCTCAATGACAGAGCCCTGTATGGTCCCGTGTGGCTCAGTTGGTAGAGCATGGCGCTTGCAACGCCAGGGTTGTGGGTTTGATTCCCACGGGGGACCAGTACGAAAAAAGTATGAAAATGTATGAACTCACTACTGTAAGTCGCTCTGGATAAGAGCTTCTGCTAAATGACAAAAATGTTAAAATGTAAATTGTAAGTGAAGAGTAGCCTTGACAAGGGCATATTATCCCCCAAGTGTCTATTTTCCACACCCATAGGACATCATAGGCACACAAGTTTAGGCTATTCTATCTCTATTCACCTGTCTGCAAATTCTATTTTTTTAATCCATCATATTGTCAACTGTCTAATTTCTCTGTACTTCACCTTGAATGTACATAAGAGCAAGTTTATGAAGCAAAACTATTCCACTGTGTAAAAACTGCAGCAAGCAATTTAGCTGTGAATCACTCCTTTTCCTGGATCCAGGACTTCCTGACAGGCAGACTAGGTGGTGTGGGTAGGCAACACACCTCCACCACCCTGACCCTCAACACAGGGGGCCCCCAGGGGTGTGTGCTTAGTACCCTCCTGTACTCTATGTACACCCACGACTGCTGGGCCACGCACGACTCCAACACCATCATTAAGTTTGCCGACAGCACGACGGTGGTGGGCCTGATCGCCGACGAGACAGCCTACAGGGAGGAGGTTAGAGCCCTGGCAGAGTGGGCTCTAATGTTGATCGTGGACTACAGGAAACAGGAGGGGGAGCAGGCCCCTTGTCATCAACAGCGCTGCAGTGGAGAGGGTCAAAAGCTTAAAGTTCCTCGGCGTAAACATCACAGATGACCTGACATGGTCCAATCACACCACTACTGCTGTGAAGAAGGCACAACTGTGCCTTTTCAACCTCAGGCGACTGAAGAAATTTGGCATGGGTCCTCGGGTACTCAAGAAGTTCTACAGCTGCACAATCGAGAGCATCTTCACCGGCTGCATTACCGTTTGGTACGACAACTGCACCGCCCTCAACCAGAAGGCTCTACAGAGGATGGTGCGGACGGCCCAATACATCACTGGGGGCGAGCACCCTGCCCTCCAGGACATCTACTCCAGGCGGTGTCTGAGGAAGGCCCGAAAGATTGTCAAGGACTCCAGTCACCCGAGCCACAGACTGTTCACTCTGTTACCATCTGGCAAGCGATATCGGAGCATCGGGTCTCGGACCAACAGGCTCCTAGACAGCTACTACCACCAGGCCATCAGACTGCTGAACAGCTAACCCTAGCTGTCTCCCTGCACAGACCTGCACATATAGAGACTATTTGCACCTCAGAGACTATCTGCACCTTAGAGATTATTTTCACTGACTACCCACACATCCAACCCTTACACACAAACTCACACACAAGCACCCACACACACTCATAACTCTCTCACTCACTCACTCACACACACACTCACACACACACACACACACACACACACACACACACACACACACACACAGTCAACACTGCTGTTCTATTTATTCCACTACGTGACATGAAGACACTACCCACTTTATATTTGTAAATACAGTGTAATACAGTCCAGTATTACTATGCATACTGTATTATTGTTATTGACTAATGTACTGCACTGTTGAGGGAGCTAGCGCATAAACATGTCGCTACACATGTTATACCTACTATAAACTGTGTATGTGACTAATACAATTTGTTTTGATTTCAACTGGTAAACACCGTTGGAGATTATCCGTATCAAGGCACCGTGCACGCAAGTTAAATATCTGGTAGAAGCAAGCAACCTACAAGGTATGGCGTGTATATATGGCTACGTACGCGCATTCTAAATAATCAAGAGAGCCCGTTAGTTAGATAACGGAGTCGAAATCCAATGTGCAGTGGTTACGGTGCAGACAGAGCATCCTCTTGCAATGCATCCCTATGGTGAACGTCACTCTCAATTTATCACAGGACTCGCGTGCACTTAGGCTACACGCGATTGCAGCCTGTTTTTGTCCATGTTCCATAACTTAAGTCGTCTTCTAAATAGGTACGTTTATCTAAATACTTCACTTTTATAATTGGGTTTATGTATCAAGTTTGTGGACAGCCGACTTACCTTTTCAGGCCCGATGTTGTCTTGTCCCTTGTCCTGAGAGACTCGAGTGAAACCCTCTGCCGCTAAACCCCAGTCAAACCTCCTCTAGCGTCACCCTGCGCTGCAACCAAGGCAACCAATGCTCGCGATATTTTGGCTCGGCGTCTTGAGAGGTGATAGTAAAGTGCTTGGCACAGGGGGACGGACTGAGGAGGAAAACAGGGGGCACTGACTGATGATTTTATTTCACATTTTTAAGGCGTGTTTGTCACAGGTAAAGATACTTTGAAATTCATCCTTGTTACATCACTGTCTTCCATCAAGTGAATTACACTGAGGGGCCCTAAAGAGGGGCCCCACACATTAGACTAACCTCCTGTCTATTTTTTCCACTAAAGATTATAGTCAGCCTTACACTGCACACATGCGAGATACAAAGGATCACAGATGCAAACTACAATTGCAAAAAGTTTATTAGGGAGAAATCTTCGTTGTTGCAGTAGAACAGAATCTCTATCATTGAACAGAAATTAGCACACCTCACCTCATGCTTACTGCATGCATCCTAGGCTGGGCTGGATTTGCAGGGGCTTGACAAAGCTGTCAAAAGTGAAAACGGCATAGAAACACAGAAAACACAGAAATACAGTAACAGCCATGATGGTAGAAGGCTAGAAGCTAAAGGAACAACTTGTGGCTGTCCTGATGAGCAACGGGTCACATTAACATGCTGAAAAGCTAAACAAAGCTCAAACTCTCAGTCCTGTTTACCTGTCTCTCCTCATCGACAAAATATGTTATTTTGCTGCTTTGTGAATAAGCTGCAGACTTGTAGTGTGATTGCACAGTATACTATGCCCCCTAAATGAATCATCATGAAAAAATAAGTGTAACCATAAATCACAGTTATGGTAGCCTATTGTGTTTACCAGGAAGTTGAACACAATAGGCTCATGATTGATTTTTTTGTTCATGATTGATTTCTTTGTTTCAAACAGATTCACTAATCCCTCTCTCTCTCTATCTCTTTCTCTCTCTCTCTCTCTCTCTCTCTCTCTCTCTCTCTCTCTCTCTCTCTCTCTCTCTCTCTCTCTCTCTCTCTCTCTCTCTCTCTCTCTCTCTCTCTCTCTCTCTCTTTCTCTGTCTGTCTGTCTGTCTGTCTGTCTTTCCAAATTAAAGAACCCAATATTGAGCTACGTAGTTCGTTTCATAGACACTTTTCTATTAATGAATTCAACCCAAGGAAAAGCTGACTCGATCACAAACATTTCAAAAAAAGTTATGGCTTTTGTTTATGTAATTGTATATATTTGTGTGTGGTCTTTATCTGCACATCTGGGTCTGTGGGGCATGCTGTTCACAGGTCGTCAGTCTCCCCATCGAAGGGCATGGCGTCCAACTCAATGGGGATGCTGCTGGGCTCACCGCTCCCCACCCAGCCTATAGGAGTGCGGTTGAAGGAGGGTCGAGCACCAATCTCATGCTGGTATACCACAGCCAGTTCAGGCTCCTCATTGGCCACCTCATGGGTGTCTGGCAGCTGGAAGGTCATGAGCTGAGAGGCCTTATCAAAGCCCCCAAAGGGTGTAGCACTCCTAAGACAGATAAAGTGATGGGCAACACAAGAAGATGAGGCAAATCAATTAAATGAATCTCCTACGATAACTTCTGTACATGTGCTACACATACATGGATGGACAATATATGTGTCTGAGTTTAAGAGTAAATGGGTGGGCTCCATTACTTCATATTCATTTCAAATAAATACTTTTTTTTAATGCTATCGAGTTGACCAGGCAAAGCATAGAGGGGACTGTACCTGTTGAAGGACTTGAACTTGGGCAGATCATGGTGGGCATGGGGGCCTGGCATATGATATCTCATGCTGGATGTCAGCTCCTGGTTGCCCTTCATGGCCTTTTCCCATGGTGATATGTATGAGGGAACATAATCATGCCTCTTCTTGGCCTTGTCTAAGGCAACCTCTACTCCATGACTACCTGTAGGAAGAAAACAGTGAGTCAGGAAAACAGATTTTATATCACATGTTATTTAAGCCTCTTTGGAATAAATCTCCAGGAAAAGTCAAATCAGGCAAAATATGATATATTAATTGCACTGCAGGTCCATTAATTCCAAAATCACTTTTTCTAATCTCTTGAGTTGATATGAGCGGAGACTGACCATGACCATGTTCTCCTGGAGCAACATCATCATGATGTACATGTCCATGGTGTCCATGCTCATGTCCATGTTCATGATCATGACCATGCCCATGACCATGACCATGCCCATCTTTGCCTGGTTTGGGAGGGGGCACAGGAGGGCCTGCCTTCTTCTCCACCATGTGGCCACTAGCATCCAACATCATTGTGCCACCCAGGCTGGGGACCAACTTCTGGAAGTTCTCCTGAAATGAAACACACAAGTAAGACAAGCTTCCAACCTGGGTGGTTGTTGAAATATACATTGATAGCCTCAACATTGTGATCATTTCCCTATTTATCCATGCGTAGTACTTCCTTCCCTCATCCATTGCCAATTTTCACTGCAATTGTTTTATGTTAAAGCTCTTTGGACAGAATTTCTACATGAACTATATATAACACTAACATTTATTATTGTTATATCAAGTTTTTAATTTTGACTTGGATGATTTACCTCCTTTTTCTTACCATAGACTCACTGCCGAAGAGGTCAGGGTTATTCTCGTATATGAACTTCTCCACACGCTTCTGCCTCCTCTGGAACATCTTGGAGCCCTTGTTGGTGAAGAGGTTGAGCTCCTCCAGCATGGTGTCCTTGGGAATCTTGATCTTCGTCCCCAGGTCAAACTCTGACGCCTCAGGCTCTGACTCATACTCTGCAGATGAGAAATGTCCACATTGTCTATTCATTTCTCTTGTTGTTTCTCTACATTATACTGTATGAACATACTGTATAAGGCCCTATTCCATTAAACTTGTAGACCAGGTTTCCGGGATAAATCAAAAACATAATTATTCTGGTTCAGCAATTGTTCAAACTTGGATTATTGGACTCAACAATGTCTGCAGTGTGACACAAAAATACACTCAGCAATGTATCTCACTATGCAGAAAGAATCTTACCGGTTACCTGTTTGGATTGAATTGGTTTCACGGTTTGCTTAGCATTGTTTGAATTAATGTTAAAGTACTTTATGTGCATCATCTTTCACCTATAAAACACATCTGTGTGGGTGTGAGGTGATCTCTACGTCTTTGTAGAAATTACGCTCAGCGCAGATGGTTGCCTAGGATGGGGATGCTCTCAGATTCTTGGTATCATTACGGTGGAAAATTCATAAATCTCTCTGCCCAAAGATGAACTGGCAGTTCTTCAACAATGTGGCTGTTGAAGGAGTGAGAGCAGAGAACATCTCATCCCCGAGTCTGGGCCTGGCTGGGAATGACTCTGACTGCGGCTTTATGAGGTAAGGCCTGAGTCGTTTTCATATCTGTGTTGTCTCAATTTGTTCTGTTCTCAGTGCTTATGATTAATTGGTCAGAAGTCACAGGGTGTTGAAACAGAGAGTATGGGTGAAGGGAGAGAGTCTTAAGTCCATAACACTGCACAGGGAAGATGTTCCACAACAATTCTAAAGCTACGGTAGCACAGTATAGTAATACAATACCTGTGTAACAGTAGGCTATACTACTAATATGATGCATATGTGTCTTTTATACTTTTTTTTGTAGTAGCCTAATCATTATTTGCTTTGTTCTTTATCTATCTATCTACGGTATGCTCTAATGTAAAATGTTCTCTGTGTGTAAAAAAACTGGTTGTTCAGATAGCAGCTGATTATTTACATAACACCACCAGGCCCTAGAACTTTGTTGTGAGAACATTCATCCCACACTGTTTTGACTAAGCACATCCTCTCAACATTATCCTTTTAGTTCCTGCTAAGAAGTTATTGCCACCCTTTTCCATTGTAGGAATTGTCACTGGATAAACACACATTAACTCTGATTAAGTTTGGTGGATTTAATAATTTAAATTTTTCCACAGGTCAAAGGAGGCTCAGGGAAATACATGATCCAAAATATATTTTGGAGTTATTTTCATTAAATAAACACACAGTGATTTATTAGACATGCAGTGATGATTTCAAAATAAAATGGCAAAGATTGTATGGGGACTTTAACCCTAACCGTAACCACACTTCTAACCCAAATGCTTAACCCTAACCGTAACCACACTTCTAACCCAAATGCTTAACCCTAACTGTAACCACACTTCTAACCCAAATGCTTAACCCTAACCGTAACCACACTTCTAACCCAAATGCTTAACCCTAACCGTAACCACACTTCTAACCCAAATGCTTAACCCTAACCGTAACCACACTTCTAACCCAAATGCTTAACCCTAACCGTAACCACACTTCTAACCCAAATGCTTAACCCTAACCGTAACCACACTTCTAACCCAAATGCTTAACCCTAACCGTAACCACACTTCTAACCCAAATGCTTAACCCTAACCGTGACCACACTTCTAACCCAAATGCTTAACCCTAACCGTGACCACACTTCTAACCCAAATGCTTAACCCTAACCGTAACCACACTTCTAACCCAAATGCTTAACCCTAACCGTAACCACACTTCTAACCCAAATGCTTAACCCTAACCGTAACCACACTTCTAACCCAAATGCTTAACCCTAACCGTAACCACACTTCTAACCCAAATGCTTAACCCTAACTGTAACCACACTTCTAACCCAAATGCTTAACCCTAACCGTAACCACACTTCTAACCCAAATGCTTAACCCTAACCGTAACCACACTTCTAACCCAAATGCTTAACCCTAACCGTAACCACACTTCTAACCCAAATGCTTAACCCTAACCGTGACCACACTTCTAACCCAAATGCTTAACCCTAACCTTAAATGAAGACCAGAAAGCTCATTTTTGTTTTCATAACTTTTTACAATATAGCCAATTATGACTTTGCAGCTGGCCCATCTAGCGGAAATCGCTCAGTTCTGCCTTTAGGACAAGATTTATCTCAATAATCATCAACCTGCTGTTAAAACACAGCTTTCTGCTTAGGTTTTATAGCTATATCTATCAGGACACTTGACACAAAAAGTGTGAAGTGCACTGCACAACTGAAGTGTAAGGGCAGCATACATTTACACTTGACTGATGTCAAAGGAAGCCTACTATATTTACTTGCACGCAGATCTGGAGCACTTAATGGATGGAGGGGACAAACACCTGTCATCATTTTCATAAAAAATGGTTATGCCATTGCTGGTTTATGAAGTATGGATCCTAACAGCTGAGAGGGAGGGTGTAAACCATTACTGTGATGATTGTAAAGGACAGATCGTATTTGTGCTGTGAAATCTAGGAGATAAATGTTTGTGTGTGTGACAGGGCGCTAGTCATTAGGACATGTTAAGTGCAGCCATGTGGAGGAGCCTCTTTGACAAGTGTCCCCCTGCCTGCCCTCTCGGTTTACCAGTTAGTGCAGTATGTTAATCTTGATAATACCACGGGCTCATATTGATAAATGTTACTGAGCAGAATTTAATGTATGGTACTGTACGGTCTCTTACATAGTTTGGAAGATCTCCTTATTATATATTTTTAATGATGTGTGAGCAATGTACATTTGTACATGCAATGTATTGTGTTTATGAGCTCACATGTTCGTGCCTTACCATCTTGAGTGACATGTGACAGGTCAGTGATGATCTTAGAGGGCTTTTTCCGCTTGTTAGGCGGGGCAGGTGTTCCATGAGGCATGACTGCAGACTGAGAACACATGTAAACAGGAAGTTAGAAAAGGTCACACAACATACCAAGTTACTGTATAATATGTCTGGATTTAGCTTATATACATACATATATATATATATATGTATATATATATATATATATATATATATATATATATATATATATATATATATATATATATATATATATAGTACCAGTCAAAGGTTTGGACACACCTACTCATTTTTACTATTTTCTACATTATAAAATAATAGTGAAGACATCAAAACTATGAAATAACACATATGGAATCATGTAGTAATCAAAAAAGTGTTAAATAATTAAATAATTTCTGCAAAACTAAATATAAATGTAGATATTAGTTGGCAGGGGTCTTTACTTCAACATTGTGTTTTGATGTATTCCTAATACCTTTTAAGACTTTTTTAAAAATGTTTTCTTAGACCCCTTTCCACCTATTTAACCAGAAATCAAAGCCTTTGCTTATTTCGGGTAGAAAATGGTTGGAAAATGTATACCTTAATTTCTCAAAAATATAGACTCTTAGCTTTCATTTGTGTTATTTCATAGTTTTGATGTCTTCACTATTATTCTACAATGTAGAAAATAGTAAACATAAAGAAAAACCCTTGAATGAGTAGGTGTGTCCAAACTTTTGACTGGTACTGTATATATACAGAGAGACTACATACATTACCAGTCAAAAGTTTTATAACACCTACTCATTCATTTTGACTATTTTCTACATTGTAGAATAATAGTGAAGACATCAAAACTATGAAATAACACATATGGAATCACATAGTACCCAAAAAAGTGTAGATGTGTCCAAACTTTTGACTGGTAGTCTCTCTGTAGCCACTCAATAGCAGAAAAAAACGAATTGTGGAAAAGAATGTGTTTCTGTTCAAGGCAGCACAGAGAGAGGAGATAGGGGATTGGAGTCCCTCTAGTGATAATATCTAACCATTGCACCATTTAAAGACCAACCAACCACCATCCCCATTGGGATACACACTTCTGAGGCCATGCAGACTACGTGCAGACTGCACCCTGCTCATTTTTCAAGTTCAGAGGGGCTTCAGATCCCTAACATTCCCCGAGCCAACAGATGTCTGTCTGTGAGAAAACATATAGCCCACTGTAAGTTTCAGTTTTGTTTGGTCTGACAACTCTAGACATTAGATAGGTATAACACATAGAGTATACTCTAGGCCTACAGTGGGTGCAGTAAACACATTCCTCTTGATGAGCTGATGAGCACAAATGACCAAGACTTTCAGATCAATCCAATTTGCATTAAACACATCGATCCAATTTGATGGATATGATGAACATGGCTGTACTCATAGATTCTTACATTATGTAGAAATCTGACACAGGAACTCTTTAGTCTAGGTTGCTAGGTTTAGCTTGAAGATATGGAAGATCTCAGTTGGGATACAGTATAAGCTCCACACCACCTAGCATGTTTATGTCTCACAGAGCCCACAGAGCCCTTTTTCTCCTTTGGGCAATACTGTTCTGTACCTACTGAGAGTCTGCAGCTTCTTTAAGACCCACTCAGTGGCAAACTTCGCATCACATCAACTGACTGTAACCTAATCCACCAGAGCTATTTTTAAGGACCATTTTCAGCCAAGACCTTTTAGCGACGAGTAGTGGCGTCAGTGTACTATCAGATGTGTGAGACGCAATGGACACTCATATACAAACACATACACACTGGCACAATTGTCAAGAGAATGATCTAATCTTCCCAAAAGTCAAATGAAGATGTTGATGGGTGAGAGGTGGGTGGATTGGAGGAAGGATTGTGGGGGAGGACTTTGTAAATCCCCTGTAAAATTATCACGAGCTGAGGACCCCAGCGCTCAGGTTTCCCCTCCCCAGCTGGGTATTACAGGCTTTGCACACCATATAAAATGTGCAGTTGGACAGAGGGGAGCGGTCAGCACATTCTCTCAGAGCCTGCCTGCATCTTTGGGACATGGGGCAAATTCTAAAAATGTTCAAGGAACTTCAAGATCACTTCACCATGCCTTCAAAAGCACTTTATATCCCATAAATGAATAAATAATGCATTCCTCATTGATTCAAGGTCTTCAACCATTAGTTCAATTCTCAAGTGCAGTTATTTTCATCCCAAGTGAATGCTATATGTAAAGTTATTGCACAACTTTATTTACTTTCCAGTTTGCCGTTGACAGCCAAGTCATGCATGCAATTGGTTAGTACAATCAAGCTGATGGCATGATCCACTCACCCAGTTGTTTTAATCCTTCTGTTCAGAGAGGTCTAGTAATACCAGTTGGAGATGAAGGCTTCAGGTTAATCTCAGTCAGAAGTTTACAAATCCCAGGGTGCCTCTGACCTGTGGCTGGACTCAGATCCCAGGGAGTGCGAAATCCACCCAGAGCTTGGATGGCAGATCTTTGAGGGGGGGGGGGGGGGGGGGGGGGTTGAGGTTGGCGTAAAAGTAAAAGTGGGGGGGGTGGGGGTGGGGGATGGGGGGTGAAAGTTCTTTGCACAGCACAAAGTGCTGATGGGGCTATCAAGAGATGGTCCGGGAGGCCTATATATAGAACCGGAGAAGAGTGAGGGGGGAGTCTAAACTTAGTTATAATATAGCCTCAAAGGACAGAGGAGTGTCCGAGGGGGTGTTTTGGGGGTGGGGTCATTGGTTTGCCCATTTTCCCCTTCATTAATTAACTCCAACCTTCCAATAGATTGTCACTTTTCTGTCAGGCAGAGGCGTCCTTGCTGTTCTATAGTATTCATGGTCATATAGCCCCCTAAACCAAAGTGGGTGCTGATTTGTTGGCTCAGACAAATCCCCAGCTCTCTCCATTGCTTAACGGCTGAACATTATTTAATATATGTGCCTGTTAGTATTATTTCGATCCATATGTTAGACCAGGGTGTGATGTTTTGTAGAAGAGTGAAGAAAAAAAGCAAGGTGAATTCGGGTGAAGAGTGCCATCATACATCTCACCCCCACATTCCTATTCTCACTTTGTGATGATTTATTTTACAGTCATCATCGCTGCCTCTCTCTCCCCTGTGTGCTCACTAGAAGAGAAGAAGAGAGTAAAATGTACCATTTGCACCTTGCCTCTTCATTTAAAACATTTCCGTTAGGACGGGAGGTCAACAGTTTAACCTTGACATTTGACCTTGCGGCTTGCAGTGCTTCACTGTTAGCACCAGGAGCTGGTCTACTAAGATTGAAGGAAGGGTTGTGTTGTGTTATGGTGAATTGTTGTGTTATAGGAAACAAATCCATTAATCACAAATAAAAACTGCTGGCATAATATTGTATAATATAAAATATAATGTACTGAATTTCCCAGCTGAGAATGGATATTCCTTATTTATTTTCCATTGTTCTCATTTTTAATGTTTTTTTCTGGACTCATCATTTTAGCCTTGGTATATCCGTCACAGATATAGGCTACTACTGTAATACTACTGTTATACCATTTCCTCATATCATATTTTTTATTTTATTTTCTTATTTTACCCCTTTTTTCTCCCCAAATTCGTGATATCCAATTGCAATCTTGTCTCATCGCTGCAACTCCCCAACAGGCTCGGGAGAGGTGAAGGTCGTGTCATGCGTTCTTCCAAATATGACCCGCCAAACCGCGCTTCTTAACACCCACCCGCTTAACCTGGAAGCCAGCTGCACCAATGTGTCGGAGGAAACACTGTTCAACTGACGACCGAAGTCAGCCTGCTGGCACCCGGCCCGCCACAAGGAGATGCTAGAGCGCAATGAGCCAAGTAAAGCCCCTCTGGCCAAACACACCCCTAACCCGGACGACGCTGGGCCAATTGTATGCCGCCCTATGGGACTCATGGCTGGTTGTGATGCCTCAAGCACTACGATGCAGTGCCTTAGACCGCTGCGCCTCTCGGGAGGCCTCCTCATATCATATAAAATGGGAGTGTTGAGCAGCCATAAATACTTTCTGGATTATAACAGCCCTATATATAGGTGGCAAATGGAAAAGATGCCAGCTAAATGTCCCCACCAGACTGTCTGTTTTTTAGCATAGAATGTATGGGTTTGTAGTACCCTTCATCAAGAAGTTGTGCCCTGGTGCTAATGGGTTTCAGAATGAGTTGAAAATATAGCCCATAACACCATCATGTGGTGAATGGTTGTTAGGATTTCACTATTCTCTGTAGCTCAATTGGTAGAGCATGGCACTTGTAACGCCAGGGTAGTAGGTTCAATCTCCGGGACCACCCATACGTAAAAATGTATGCACACATGACTGTAAGTTGCTTTGGATAAAAGCGTCTGCTAAATAGCATATTATTATATTCTGTTTACATGCATTCACTAGTTTACATATTGTGGAAATGGAGATAGACCGGATATAATTTAGAGTCTTTTTGATATCCTACTATTAGACCATGATAAGATTCTTTGGGACAGTTTCTTGGACACAGATTAAGCCTAATCCTTGACTAAAAAGCATGCTCAATGGAAATTCTCTATTAAAATGTTTGGTCCACAACTGGGCTTAATCTGTGTCAGAGAAACTGTCCCTATGTGTTCAATTGTCTAATACAATCAATATGTTAATGGAAGACAACCTGGGACAATTAAAGCTCTATTTAAAATCAAATCTAATTTTATTTGTCACATGCGCCGAATTGTCACACCCTGGCTCTGGGACTCATTATGTTGAGCCAGGGTGTGTTCATTCTATGTGTTTATTTCGATGTTGGTAGTTCTGTTGTGTCTATTTCTAGGTTGTTGTATTTGTTTGTATTGAGTGACTCCCAATCGGAGGTAACGAGTGTCAGCTGTCGGCTCGTTATCTCTGATTGGGAGCCATATTTAAACTGTGTGTTTTCACCTTGGGGTTGTGGGTTTTTGTTCCGTGTTCGGTTAGTGTAACCGTTTTGGACTTCACGAGTCGTGTTTGGTATACTTTAATATAATAAAGTCATGTTCGTTTCACACGCTGCGCCTTGGTCTACTCTCCTTTATGACGATCGTGACAGAAAAACCCACCATACCAGGACCAAGCAGCGTGTCCAGGAACAGGCAACCTGGACGTGGGAGCAGCGTCGTAGGGTCGAGAGGCAACCCCAAGAAATTTTTAGGGGGGGGCACACGGCATGGACGACGGGGCTGACGGAGGCAAAGAGGGGGCGAATCCAGGAGGCCACCAGGCCAGGGGTACACCGCCCTGTACGTCCTGTGCGGATGCCTCACACAGAGTGTGTGAGGGTAGGCATTCAGCCAGGACGGGTGGTGGCCGCTGTTCACTCCAGGCCTCCTATCCGTCTCCACAGCCCGGTCCGGCCTGTTCCTGCCACCCGCACCAAGTCTACGGTGCGCGTCGCCAGCCCGGTCCGGCCTGTTCCTGCCACCCGCACCAAGTCTACGGTGCGCGTCGCCAGCCCGACCCGGCCTGTTCCTGCCACTCGCACCAAATGGACGGTGCGCGTCTCCAGCCCAGCCCGGCCTGTTCCTGCCACCCGCACTAAGTCTACGGTGCGCGTCGCCAGCCCGACCCGGCCTGTTCCTGCCACCCGCACCAAGTCTACGGTGCGCGTCGCCAGCCCGACCCGGCCTGTTCCTGCCACTCGCACCAAACCTACGGTGCGCGTCGCCAGCCCGACCCGGCCTGTTCCTGCCACTCGCACCAGGCCTCCTATCCGTCTCCACAGCCCGGTCCGGCCTGTTCCTGCCACCCGCACCAAGTCTACGGTGCGCGTCGCCAGCCCGGTCCGGCCTGTTCCTGCCACCCGCACCAAGTCTACGGTGCGCGTCGCCAGCCCGACCCGGCCTGTTCCTGCCACTCGCACCAAACCTACGGTGCGCGTCGCCAGCCCGGTCCGGCCTGTTCCTGCCACTCGCACCAAACCTACGGTGCGCGTCGCCAGCCCGGTCCGGCCTGTTCCTGCCACCCGCACCAAGTCTACGGTGCGCGTCGCCAGCCCGACCCGGCCTGTTCCTGCCACTCGCACCAAACCTACGGTGCGCGTCGCCAGCCCGACCCGGCCTGTTCCTGCCACTCGCACCAAACCTACGGGGTGCGTCGTCAGCCCTGTCCGGCTCGTTCCTGCTCTCCGCACCAAGTCTGTGGTGCGCGTCGCCAGCCCATTCCGGTCCATTCCTGTTCCACGCACCAAGCCAGGGGCGCGTGTCGTCAGTCCGGCTCCGGCCAGCGGGGCTAGACAGGATCAGGGATACTTTGGGGGGTGTATCGGAGGGTGGTGGTCAAGGCCGGAGCCAGAACCGCCGCCAAGGAGGTATGCCCGCCCAGCCCTCCCCTGTTTTGTTTAGTTGAGGCGCGGTCGCAGTCCGCGCCTTTAGGGGGGGGTACTGTCACACCCTGGCTCTGGGACTCATTATGTTGAGCCAGAGTGTGTTCATTCTATGTGTTTATTTCGATGTTGGTAGTTCTGTTGTGTCTATTTCTAGGTTGTTGTATTTGTTTGTATTGAGTGACTCCCAATCGGAGGTAACGAGTGTCAGCTGTCGGCTCGTTATCTCTGATTGGGAGCCATATTTAAACTGTGTGTTTTCACCTTGGGGTTGTGGGTTTTTGTTCCGTGTTCGGTTAGTGTAACCGTTTTGGACTTCACGAGTCGTGTTTGGTATACTTTAATATAATAAAGTCATGTTCGTTTCACACGCTGCGCCTTGGTCTACTCTCCTTTACGACGATCGTGACAGAAAAACCCACCATACCAGGACCAAGCAGCGTGTCCAGGAACAGGCAACCTGGACGTGGGAGCAGCGTCGGAGGGTCGAGAGGCAACCCCAAGAAATTTTTAGGGGGGGGCACACGGCATGGACGACGGGGCTGACGGAGGCAAAGAGGGGGCGAATCCAGGAGGCCACCAGGCCAGGGGTACACCGCCCTGTACGTCCTGTGCGGATGCCTCACACAGAGTGTGTGAGGGTAGGCATTCAGCCAGGACGGGTGGTGGCCGCTGTTCACTCCAGGCCTCCTATCCGTCTCCACAGCCCGGTCCGGCCTGTTCCTGCCACCCGCACCAAGTCTACGGTGCGCGTCGCCAGCCCGGTCCGGCCTGTTCCTGCCACCCGCACCAAGTCTACGGTGCGCGTCGCCAGCCCGACCCGGCCTGTTCCTGCCACTCGCACCAAATGGACGGTGCGCGTCTCCAGCCCAGCCCGGCCTGTTCCTGCCACCCGCACTAAGTCTACGGTGCGCGTCGCCAGCCCGACCTGGCCTGTTCCTGCCACCCGCACCAAGTCTACGGTGCGCGTCGCCAGCCCGACCCGGCCTGTTCCTGCCACTCGCACCAAACCTACGGTGCGCGTCGCCAGCCCGACCCGGCCTGTTCCTGCCACTCGCACCAAACCTACGGTGCGCGTCGCCAGCCCGGTCCGGCCTGTTCCTGTCACTCGCACCAAATCTACGGTGCGAGTCGCCAGCCCGGTCCGGCCTGTTCCTGCCACCCGCACCAAGTCTACGGTGCGCGTCGCCAGCCCGACCCGGCCTGTTCCTGCCACTCGCACCAAACCTACGGTGCG